GCCATAAAGTGAGAGAGCAGGACGCAATTGCCCAGGTTTCTTATCCACTTTGATTCCGTCATGAATTTGGATACCGTTTTGGTAGAAATAAACACAGAGACCATCTTCACTCTCATTTAGAAAGCAGCTCAGGATGTTACCTGGTGTGATCCGTTCTCCAATAACACGCCTTTTTGATTTCGTGATGAAATAGCCATTTTTCATTTGGTAGCCAAATGACTCGGCATCGTATCCAAGTGGCCCAAGCATCTCCGCCTTTTCTGTTGCGTATCCAACTCTGCATACGCCCTTTCTTGAAACAATCGATATCTCAAAATATGAGATATCGTGTTCATTCTTGTACATGCAAAGCTTATGATGTTTTACGTCTGATCTGATTTTGATGCAGTTTGGTTCATCTCCTTCTACGCTGTAGCTTCCACTGTGCTTGAAATCCTCGTTTTTAACTGTTGAGAATCTTTTGTTCATTCTGCGGTTAAAAATTCATTGCTTTTCTTATTCCGCTACAAATTTGTGCGATATTTTCATCGTGTTCAATTTGACCAGAATCGAGTTCCCTGCACATTTTGATACTGAAATTTATTCTGCCTAAAAAAACAAGGCTGTTTTTGGTACTGAATAGTTCAACTGCTCCAGTACCAAATACGTCATTGATGTGACCGCATTCTATGCATTCTATCCCACTCATGTTTTCTACTACGCCCAAAACACGCATTTTGGCCTTTTTACAGAAACTAAGCTGTCTATTCAAATCAGACATTGCAAGTGAATGTGGCGTAGAAATCAGCACCGTAGAGCATTCTTTGATGTAATTGAAGAGTGCAATATGTTCATCAGTGATATTTGGTGGTGTATCAATGATCAGGATATCACAATTGTCAAAATTGCAATTTTTCAGAATCTTCTTGATCAAATACGTCTTGTAACTACTATCAAATATGTCACTGGTTGTGTTAATGTGTCCTACTGAGAATGTTTTGTATCCATTTGCATCAATTGGATCAAATGTATCGTCAATGTTCGATATTATATGATTTTCCGTTTGTGTTAATTTTGGAATTGACGGACCAGATAGGTCAAAATCAATTAGAAGCACATTATGATGCTGTTTGAGGTGACT